TTTCATGGTCACTTGCATGTAGTAATCTAGGAATATTCAGAGATTTTGAAAACCAATTGTATTTAACCAGCCTCAAGTTGTGCAACTATGATATATAATAAATAATTTGAAACAAAATCTGTGCTTGTAGTCTGAGTAAAATGACTTTATTCTCAAATCTTCTCATTGTTAGTACGTTGAACACAGGATTGCCCAGTGGTTTAGGAAGATATACAGTGAGGGTTTTTTTGTTTTTTGTTTTTCGAGACAGGGTTTCTCTGTAGCTTTGGAGCCTGTCCTGGCCCTAACTCTTGTAGACCAGGCTGGCCTAGAACTCAGAGATCTGCCTGCCTCTGCCTCCCGAGTGCTGGGATTAAAGGCGTGCGCCACCAGCGCCCGGCATACAGTAAGTTTTTATAAATAGTATGTAGCTTCAGGTTTGTTAAGTTTTTTATTTTTTTATTTTATGTGTATTGCTGTTTTGCCAGCATGTGTGTATGTCCAGACATAATGGGCAGTACCCAAGAAAGGCAGAAAAAGGGCATCAGACCGCCTGGAACTGAAGTCATGAATGGTTTTGAGCAGCCATGTAGGTGCTAGGACAGAACCCAGGTCCATTGGAAGATTAGCCAGTGCTATTAACTACTGAGCTCTCTCTCCAGCTCCACCAGCTTCAGTTTTAACTAGTTATATAATGCTTTTAATTAGTTTGCTTAAAAATTCATATAAAATGCTTTTTTATTCCACCTGAGACTTTCTGATGCATGACCAATTTGAAAATTTTTCTCAACTCTGTATTTGGGATTTCACTTAAAAGTTAGTAAATAGGGGCTGGAGAGATGGCTCAGTGGTTAAGAACATTGCCTGCTCTTCCAAAGGTCCTGAGTTCAATTCCCAGCAACCACATGGTGGCTCACAACCATCTGTAATGAGGTCTGGTGCCCTCTTCTGGCCTGCAGGCATATACACAGACAGAATATTGTATACATAATAAATAAATAAAATATTTTTTTTAAAAGTTGGTAAATAAAAAAACAATAGCAAACTATAAGCTAAATTTGTCCACTGACGTACATGGTGTCATAGTAGTTCTCAGTCTTAGTCCAATGTTGGGATTACTTCAAGAACTTGAAAAAAATGGTCATGCCTAGATTTCACCTAGACAGTAAAATCAGAATCTCACTGGGAGTAGTGATACATACCTGTAATCCCAGTATTTGAGATGCAGAAGCAGGAGGATTACCACAAGTTCAGGGGCATCTTGGTCTACATAGTTCCAGGCTAGTTAGAGCTATAGAATGAGGCTCTATCTCAAAAAAAAAAAAAAAAAACCTCCATGTATTGGACATAACATAAAAACAAAATTACCTACGGTTGAAAAGACACTGAACATATTTCTTATTTTTTTTAAGATGGTCTCATGCAGCCAGGGCTGTTCTCAAATTTACTATATGGCTGCAGATGACCTCGAAATACCTTTTAAAACATTAAATCCCAGAAGAGACAGGTGGATCTCTGTGAGTTTGAGGCCAGCTAGTCTATAAAGAGTTCCAAGACAGCCAGGGCTGTTACAGAGAAACCCTGTCTGGGGGGGGGGGGTGGAAGTAGGGTCTTGTAGCCCAGCTAGCTTTGAATTTTTGAATTCCTTATCTAACCAAGGTCTGATCCCTGTCTTCCCCTCCCCACATTGTATAGGCATGCACCACCTTTCTCAGTCTCTTGAATGCTGCATTTACAGACATGAAGCACCATGCCTGATTCTCTGTACTTCTACACTAAATGATGAAAGAAAGAGGAAGGCCCATGTGACCATATACCTATAAAGGCTTCCAAAACACAACTCAAAAGGAGTGGGTAGAATTCTTTGCTTATGTACCTTCTTAAAAAGAATGGCATCTCTGGGAAGATGCATAAGCTTTTGTGTGGCTTAGGCATGGTGCCCACTTATTGCTTGGGAATAAGTCCGTCTTCCTGGTTAGTTCCAGGAAGGGTCATCTCCTAGGTGAGGGATCAGTGGCGTGCCTGAACCGCTTTAGTATGGATATGGGACTTTCAGTTAGAGTGTAAGGGAAAGTTACTTGCTGTACTTAGCTCATCCTCCAGTGGCTTATACCTCTGCTGCAACTTTACAGATTTTAGATTTTCAGGCATAGGCAAAAGCATAGTGAAGAAAATACACATCCTTAAGTACAATTTATTTTTTTAAAGACTTGAATGTCCTGAAATTGTCAGAAGTTGGCTACTGATTAGCTTGGTCAGCTTTTACATTGCAGAACACATCTTCAGCTCTAGTCATGTCCAGTCCATACATACTGCTCCATACATACTCTTGTTCCACCTGACTTTCTAGTAAGGCTGTCCCAGGGAACCTTGGTTTTTTGAGACAGGGTCTCAGTTGTCTTGGCTAGCCTGAAACTCTTGTGGACCAGGCAGGCCTCAAACCTGTAATTACTCTTGCCTCTCCCTCCTGAGTGCTGGGATTGATTTTGTGTGTCACTGTGCCTAGCCAAGTCTGTGAATTTTCAAGTTCAGTGCTGGGGGAGGTGGACAAAGAGCGATAGGAGGAAGAGGAGGGAGGTTGAGTTAGAAAGAAATGGGAGAGCCTGAGAGTAGGGAGGGAATTCTGAGGCACAGGAAGGGAATCTTCAGGGTCAAAGTGGGTGAAGAGGTTAGGGTGAGCTAACCAGAGTTTCCAAAGTGGAAACTGGACTAGGAAAGGATGGTTTTGGAGGGCACAGATTTTGAGCCAAGTATAGGGATTTTGTCCAACAGTTAGCCAATGATCATATCAGGGAACTGACTGAGGTTCTGGGGACCCATGACCGTGAGCCAGGCAGTGGTGTGGTCCAGGGAGCTGCTGGCCAGCCCACTTTATATGAGGACCAACTGACCTCACAAAAAGCATGCAGTGTTCCTCTAGTAAGAGTAACACAATAATTTCCCCCAAAACTGAGAGGAAAATATTTAACATGCATTGTAGGTTTAGGTTTGGAATGGTTGGTCTCCATTGTGGAGAAAGGTTTATGTGACTCTAGGAAGCAAAAAGTCAAAGGGACCAGACTGGAGAAGGTGACAAGAAGAGAAGATCTCAAGTGAGATCCTTGAGTTGAAGACAGGGAAGAAGGGTAGGCCCAGGAGTGTACTTGCTCATGTAGAGACCTCTTGTCCTAGGAAGAGAGGGAGGGTAGGTTTGCAGATCTGTGGGGTCTCCCTTTTCCTCATTGTTGGTTGAGTACCCATCTGCAAGGACAAAGGGAGCAGAGGTGGAGTGCTTTGTGCAGTGCGATGAAAACACCTTTCCAGGAGACTGCTTCAGTGTTACAGCTCAACTTTATTTCAGAGGAAGGGGAATATACAGGATGGGAACACTAGCTGGGTGAGCATCACCTAATTTGCATTTCGCAGCACGGAGCCTATCTTCTTCTTTTTTTTCAAGATAGGACTTCTCTGTGTAACTTTGGAGCATGCCCTGGAACTCGCTCTGTAGACCAGGCTGGCCTCGAACTCAGAGATCCGCCTGCCTCTGCCTCCCGAGTGCTGGGATTAAGGGAGCGCGCCACCACTGCCTGGAAGCACGGAGCCTCTCAAACAGCTGGATTTCAATACCTAAATACCTTATGGGAAGCAGCGGGGGGGGGGGGGGGGGGGTGGGAGGGAACAAAACAAAAGGCGCGC